ATCGATACCGGGGTCCTACGGAAGCAACAGCAATTTGGAACATCGATCTCGTGGGACGAACGACGGCACCACGATACGTGCCGTCGCCGCGAATGCTGCTACCGCACCGTTTAAAGGGCGCTGCTTTGCGTGCAATCGGCCGGGACACCGCAAGAGCGAATGCCGGGAAAATGCTAAGGGAAAGGGGGAAGCTGAGCAGCAGAAATAGACCAAGCAGCAAGGAAACGCTGGGAGTCAATAGCAGACGGGCCCTCTACTGACAGGTCACGCCGCTCGCTCGACCCAACCGACCCTCACCGAGTGATTGTGCCGGTTCACGCAATTGAGCACACGCGGCAGAACAAGGAGGGTACTACGGTAGACAACCCCATACTGCTGAGCGGGAAAACCGGGACAGACTTTCGTAGATGGGGGAGCAGTTCGGGACGAGGCTACAGTTCAGTTCATCGTACCACCTCGAGACGGACGGTCAAACGGAGCGAACCAATTAGACGATGAAGTAGTTGATTCCGGCCACTTGCGACGACCCGACAACTTGGGAACAGCAGCTGCCGCTGATCGAGTTCGCCTACAACAACGCCACGTCAGCGACGACGCAGTAGTCCCCATTTTACCTGAACTACGGGCAAAACCCAATAGTGCCCATGACGCCGAGTCCGGACCAGGGCCTATTTTATCAGGGTAAATCACCATGAAGCCCTGATTAACAGGGTGGTTTTTGGTAGTAACACTGATGCGGTAGGGTAATTTTTTAGGAACCTTGATTTACCCTGATGTGCTAGGCTTTACGATTAAGGAACACTGTCGCCTCAGGGTTGTCGTTCCTGTTATCGAGTTTTACCCTGAAGTGAGTACCAGCCAGCCCCCGCGCCCCCCCCCCCCCCCCCCCCCCCCCCCCTCCACTTTCCCCTAACCACCTTACCGCGTAACCTGGGATCCCCGTAAACCTGGGATTCCCGTAAATTTCCGCACGACACTAGGTGTGTTGGCACGAAGTGGTGGACATCTGATCCAAGGAAGAAACCAGACGGCCTGCGAAATCAATGGCGATGCCGACCCAAGTGGAAAGAAAGGGCAAAGAGAAAGTGCATAATGCTTGTTACTGTGTGCTATGTTAATAACAACTTCAGCAGGGTTTGAAAATTTATTACACTGATGTCTCAGGGTAGAATATTCAAAACAAGCAGAAACCCTGATATATCAGTTTTTTCAACAAGGGTAACACTGATAATCAGGTTTTTGATCATGTGCAACACTAATCGCAAGGGTTGGAAAAAACCAAAAATTAGCCCTGATTCGGACAACCCAACGCCACGCGGATAATTAGCCCTAACCACCTTACCCCGTAACCTGGGATCCCCGTAAACCTGGGATTCCCGTAAATTTCCGCACGACACTAGGTGTGTTGGCACGAAGTGATGGACATCTGACCCAAGGAAGAAACCAGACGGCCTGCGAAATCAATGGCGCTGCCGACCCTAGTGGAAAGAAAGGGCAAAGAGAAATTGCATAATGCTTGTTACTGTGTGCTATGTTAATAACAACTTCAGCAGGGTTTGAAAATTTATTACACTGATGTCTTAGGGTAGAATATTCAAAACAAGCAGAAACCCTGATATATCAGTTTTTTCAACAAGGGTAACACTGATAATCAGGTTTTTGATCATGTGCAACACTAATCGCAAGGGTTGGAAAAAAACCAAAAATTAGCCCTGGTTCGGACAACCCAACGCCACGCGAACAACAATTCGCCGAGATTCTGCAAGCTGCCCACACCAGAGCCGTCGAAGAAATTAAAAAAGCCAACGTCATCGCTAAACGCAACGATGACCGCCAACGCCGCCCAGTCACGTACTAGTCAGGAGATTACGTACTGCTCGACACACAGAACTTGAGACTGTCCGTTGTGCCAAAATCACGAATGCGCTACAGTGGACCATTTCAAATCAGCCACATGATCACCCCAGTTACCTCTCATTTACTGTTGCCGACTGACTGGTACATCAGCCCATCATTCCACGTCGGCCTGCTTCGCCCTTACATCTCGACCACGAGCCAACTGCCTCGTCACCGCCCGCCATCCATGACTCGCCCTGCATCGGACCGCACGCCAACTGAAGATAGCTGGATGCCCCTGGCCGACATCGTAAACCACCCTGCCCTGCAAGTGTACCGTACCTAAGGAGCCGGGGTTTCCACGATATACATTCACCCGCTTAGCGGAGGGGGCTTCTTGAGAGGGGGGGGGGGGGTAGTGTAAGGATTTTTCTCGCTATTCCTTACCGCGATCGTCAACATCGCGTACAGCAGCAGCCGTTGTTCGGCCGTTACTGCTAACGGGGCTTCGCCAACTTCGCGCGCACTGTTTCACCAAACCTCGCACTTTTGGAGCAGCCGAGTCGGCCTACGCTTCGGGACTAGCCCGAACCTCACACCAGCGTAGCACTAGCTAGCTCGCACGCACCACGTTACGGTTTGCGCATTTTCGTGTATAAGTATTTGCTCATGCCTTCGCTCATACTTTGTACTCATTGAACACTAAGTGCAATCCTCGCTACCTAGATTCATTGCACCCGTAACAACTTTTAACAATGATAAAATATAGAAGAAATGCTGGAGAGCTGCTGTTCAAAAGATAGTTTGAGACGGGTTTCAGTTTAGAGGTAGTTGCTGACGCGTGAGGAGCACTTGCGGACCAGCTTCGCTCACAACACCTGGGATTCTGGGTCAGGCCTGTCGATTCACGGGCATTTGCCCGTTTGTCCTGAGAATTCAGGGCTGGGTTTGACGCACCTCAGAGATTTTAAGGTTAGTTTGCGAGGAAGCTCGTTAGGAAAACGGACTGGTTTTGCCCTTGGCCGGACCCTAACGGACTGGTTTTGGGCCTTGCCCGGATTTCCGTGTGTGTCCCCCCCTTCCTCCACCCCCCCCCCCCCTCCTTTCCCGAACTAGCTTCCCCTTGGAGTTTCTTGACCCCTCATCCGCGAATCCGCCTCAAACACATTTAGTTGAAACTTCATGGTTCTTGTAAGCATGTATGTTGCTGGCTGCAAATACACTAGGTCTGAAGTCAGCCCTGATTCTTACTGGCCAGCCCTGATTCTTACGGGCCAAAATCAGCCCCTACCCGGATCCTTCCGGGCTGGTTTTGGGCCAGCTCAACTTCTTAAGGGCTGGGTTTAGAGTAAGCGACAGGCCTGTTCTGGGTGTGCTCAGATTGAGGGGCCTTTTCTGGATTGGGCTGTGAATGCAATGCAATAGTGGGTGGCAGCTTTCTGCTTGCACTTGCCCGGCTCACAATTGATGTACTTTAGCGGTTGGCTACGAGCTGTCCACTATAGAGCTGTATATTCCCTTTACCGCATTGAACCGCTTTTTACCAGCCTTACTTGTGAAACATGAGCTGCAACGAGCGTGGGACCCGCCCTAAACTGCGATAAAACCCTAACGGGTACAACGCGCCTCCCTCACTTTCGTTCGTGGTGCTGGCAAGAAAAGAGCGGGGACCAACGACACGCCAACACGATCAAAAGGGGTCCCAGGCAAAAGGGGTGCGTCACCCTCAATTCCGATGAGCGATTCAGAGCGGGGACCAACGACACGCCAACACGATCATTGAGGAAGCAGACTTGTGAGGTGGGGGCGAGAGGGTGGGGGGAGGGGGGGGGTGCGAGCAGTGTCAAGACCTTGGACTTTTTTCAGGTCAGTACTAGCTGCCCTTCTTGTGTAAGTGCTTTCGTCCAGCAATAGTGGACTACGCTGAAGCGAATCAATGGTTGTCGAGTGGCTTCCGAGGGGTGTGGGAAGCTTCAATTCAACAGCCAATGTTGTACTGTTAACCTCCCAGAAAGAGGGTCGACTTGCCGCAACTTGAGCGTAGGCAGTTTACTACTGAGGGCTTGGTAGATTGTAGATCGACTGCAAAACATCGATCCTCCACCATACTGTAACTTTGTTTAGCGCATATCCAGCGCCCAGATCCTAAGATTGTTATTTTCATCGCAAGCTTACCCAGATTATTCGTGAGGGTGTTTATCCAGGGTTCATGGCGAGAACGACGCACTGTAGGACAGATTCTCTTATGGTTGCTCACTATCATAGTGTCCTGGCAGTTTGTTGCGCGTAGCAATCAATTTGTCACGCCGTTTGTCCGTATTTGGGACTGTACTTCAGCGAATGAGAGAGTCGGGAACTTGGCAAACAGTGACCAAACGACCTTCCATACCGCGTCATGGGGGTTAGCGCTCCGCAGTCGCCAATGTGCCGTACGCGGAGCGGCTCGCTGGGAAATTGAGCGCACACGCGGAGACATTGGAATTTGCACTCAAAATTGAGTGTACAGTAGACAGTCCTGCCTCGTGCATTCCCCCCGTTGTTCGCAAGAAGTTGCGTGACAGTAGCTCATGATACGCGGAGCCATCCGTGCTGGCACATGCTGCAAGAAAGCCCTACATATAGAAGCCGCTGCATATAACGCCAAGTACCTCAAATCTCGAAATAGAAACGCAGCAACAGCCTGAATCAGCCGCGACCCTTGCGTCACCCCGTACGCATATAAATGCTCACGGCAGCGTCGTTGGTGATCGTCGTTTTTGACAAGATATATTTTTTTGCCGTGAGACAGTCATACGATTTTTCGCGATCAGTCGAGCTGATCGTGTGCTTCGCCCGCGCTTGTTGATCCGCCTACAAGCTATTTTACCATAGAGTTACGTTCGCAGCTGAGTTGATCCACAGAGTTTAATGCGGCCCGTGCCGGATTTTTTTGTGACGTGCTCCCCTTCCATAATAGCGCGTTTATTTCCTTAATATAGCGCGATTTGTTCCGTAGTTGCACGATCGTTACTATGGACCCGTACTGGGATTGGGACGACTGCGAAATTGGCATGGTCCTCGTCAAGCAAGAAAGCGACGCCGCTTCCGCCGCCGCCACAGCCGCCGCTGCATCCGCCGCACCCAGCGGCGGGGAGCAAGGTGATGCCGCGGGACGCGGAATCGTCATGGAATGGACACCCGCAACGTTGGCGGCAGTTCCGGCAGCAGGAGCATCCGCGGAAGCATCGGGAGCGGCGCTGGTGGCGGCATCCCCGCCGGGTGGGTTCCGTCGCCCGGCACTGACTCCGCTCATTACCCCCCCAAAGGCGGCGACGGCGGCGTCTCATCGTCCCCCTTCCCCCCTCACCAGCGGCGGCTGCCGCGAGTTTTCCGCCACCTCTGCCGCTGGCTCGGCACCGAGCCATTATGGGGCTGGTTCGGGGGGGCCGAGCCCCTCTGGCTCGGGACCCAGCCTTGTAGGCTCGGCACCCAGCCCCAGAGGTTCGGGCCCCAGTCCTGCAGTATCCACCGCCGCATCACACGCAGAGGCAGAAGCAGGGGCAGTGCTGTGTCCTTCTGAAACCGTACGACGGCAAGGAACCGTACCCAAGACACACAGCTTGAAACTGTACGTAAACTTAATGGTTTCAAGATTTTGGTCATTTAGGAACCCTCAACTTCTCATCTCATCACCCCTCATCTCATCACCCCTCATCTCATCACCCCTCGTCTAATCACCCCTCGTCTCATCACCCCTCATCTCATCACCCCTCATCTCATCACCCCTCATCTCATCACCCCTCATCTCATCACCCCTCATCTCATCGCCCCTCATCTCCTCACCCCTCGTCTCATCACCCCTCCTTTCATCACCCGTCATCTCATCACCCCTCATTTCATCACCCCTCATTTCATCACCCCTCATCTCATCACCCCTCATCTCATCACCCCTCGTCTCATCACCCCTGTCCTCTCCTCCTAGCCTTTCCTGCGGCAAAACCTTCTACCAGGCTTTATGTCCTCTCTCCTATCCTCTTACTAACCTTTCCGCTCCTCTCTTCTCCTCTTGCCTTCGCATTGCAGAACTGCACACCGTGCCAAGTACCTTGCACGTTCAAGGTCCCGGAGAAGCAGCACTGCTGCTACAGCACCTCCTGCTGCTGCCACCCCAGCTGCTACAGCCGCCGCCACTGCTTCCGCTGCTGCTGCTGCTGTCGCTACAGCTGCCGTCCCAGGAATGGGCACTACAGAGATTGCAGCCACTCCGGACCATCCCCTATCCTTTTTCCGATGCTCTGCTTCTGCTGGGGCGGTGTTAGATCGCCCCTCATCGGCTGGATCGATGATGGCACGCCCTGCTACAACTGGGGGTGTGTTGGATTGCCCCCCTCCCTCCCCTCCGTCCGTATCAGCATTCTTCTCCCTATGCTCTGCTCCCCAGCTGTCACCTCACGCCACACATGCTGTCTCTGCTCCTCCTGCCACAGCTGCTGCCACTGTCACTGCCACTGCTGCTGCTGCTGCTCTCACTGCCACTGCTGCTGCTGCTGCCACTGCCACTGCCACTGCCACTGTTGCTGCTGCCCGAACCTGCAAGCGAGGCTTGGATACCACAGCAGACCACGACAGCGGTAGCAACCCTGGCACCTCCGGGCGGCGGAGCGGTGGCAGTGCTGGCTCCTCCGGGCGGCAGAGCGGGCGGCAGCGTGGCAGCAGTGGCGGGGTCAGCGGGCGGCAGAGGTACCAGTGGCTCCCGGTTGACTTGCCAGACGACGGGTACGACTGGTGCAAATACGGACAAAAACCGCTAGTGGTGGATTCCTGCTGTATCCGCTCCTACTACCGCTGCTTTCTCGGCGACCCCCGCCAGGTCAGCTTGCATCCTGACCGAGAACCCTGCCCGGCAAAAAAAATTGTTGACTGGAGGATCACACCGGGTGTTATCAGCAGCGCAGCTTCCTACGCGTCTACTAGTGGACGGTTGGAATCAGGAGCAGTAGCTGAAGCGGACCAGCCTTCTGCTGCTGGTTGCACCACTCTCCTCCCATCTGCTAACTCTACCCCTACTGGTGCTGATACTGCCGCTGCTGTCACTGGAGTCGCCCCTACTGCCCCTATCTCCCCTATGATCAACTACCTTAACGAGCATAACCATGAGGCACCGAATCCCCCTCACTCCCGCCCGCCCATCTCCCAGCGCTTGCATATCCCCCTTAGACGCCTCCCCGCTTCCGTTACAGGCTTGCTGATTCCTGGGAATGCTACACAAGGCTTGGATATGGCTCAGGAATTACCTCCGACTGAAAACGACCCTGTGGGAGATTGGGTGCAGAAGAGGGAGGCTCGTGTATCGGACGGTTGTGGTGGTAACCATGTTACAGTCAAAAGTGAGGGTGTGAGCATGGGAGGATCCACAATGGGAGCGGGAGCAGGGGGGACTTGTCAACCTTCAGGTTTTGGTGTGGGTTGTGTGGGTAGTGTGGGTGGTGTGGGTGGTGTGGGTGGTGTGGGTGGTGTGGGTGGTGTGGGTGGTGTGGGTGGTGTGGGTGGTGTGGGTGGTGTGGGTGGTGTGGGTGGTGTGGGTGGTGTGGGTGGTGTGGGTGGTATGGGTGGTGTGGGTGGTGTGGGTGGTGTGGGTGGTGTGGGTGGTATGGGTGGTATGGGTGGTGTGGGTGGTGTGGGTGGTGTGGATGGTGTGGGTGGTGTGGGTGGTATGGGTGCTGGTCAGATGGATGGACAGGGGGAGCTGGTGGGAGGAGGGATGTTTACAGCAAATCTGGCCCTTTTGAGAGGAAAAGAGTCAGTGCAGCAGCAGCAGTGTTGGATAGCAGGGAGTGATGTGGCAATGGGAGGCATGTCATTGCCTTTGGTGGACACATGGCAGCAGCAGCAACAGCAGCAACAGCAGCAGCAGCAGCAGCAGCAGCAGCAGCAGCAGCAGCAGCAGCAGCAGCAGCAGCAGCAGCAGCAGCAGCAGCAGCAGCAGCAGCAGCAGCAGCAGCAGCAGCAGCAGCAGCAGCAGCAGCAGCAGCAGCAGCAGCAGCAGCAGCAGCAGAAGAAGAAGAAGAAGAAAAGGGAGAAGGAAGAATTGTCAATCTCAGCACTGCCAGCAGGCCTTCAGACGTCCCAGAGCGCATTTCCAGCAGTAGCGACAGGAGCAGAGGTAGAATCAGGATTTGGCATGGCATGCCCTTTTGAAACCACCTCCAAAGAAGCAGCAGCGGCAGCAGCATTGGCAGCAGCAGCGGTGGCAGGAGAGAAGGTAGAATCAGGAATTGGATTTGAGATGGAGTGTGCGGGAGCTGCGGCATTGCGGTCTCAGTCTCTCTTAGATCAATACCTGGAGCGACAGCAGCAGGAGCAGCCTTTCGAGTCGACTCAGAAGAAACAGAAGGAGGAGCAGCAGCAAGCACGGCACTCTTCACTGTGTTTCCCTGTGCTGTCATCCTCATCAGCCTTTGCATCTCCCACCTTCTCTCCCTGCCTCCTCCCCTCTACCACTCTCCCCTCTATCGCTCTCCCTTCTTCTGCTCTCTCCTCTAGCGCTATATCTGACTCTGTTACCCGCATGCTCAGCCAGGTAACACCTTCCCCAGTCGCCCCTTCCCAGGCTGCCTCCTCACACGCCCTATCCTCGTTATTAACAGCTTCAGATGCTGGCGACCAGACTCCATCCATTCCATCCGGCTCCATTCCCTCTTCTTCTCCCCAACTTCCACTGCTTTCGAACCTCCAACTCCTATCCCCCACTGCAAACGCCCAAGCCTTCGCCTTTCCCTCACCCTCCCACTCCCACTCCCCCTCCCCCTCTCCCTCTCCCTCCCCCGGGCCGACCTCGCCTCTAGAGCCATCCTCCCCTGCCACTATCGCTGCTGCCTTCCCCTCGACCACCCCCGCTGCAGCTTTCCCCTCCACCAGCCAAGCACACACCCTCTTACCCCCTTCGTCCAACACCCGCCTCACTCCCGCCTTTTCCCTTCCTGCTAAGACCCATCCGCTCCCCGCAATCCCCATGTTACCTCAGAGCCGCAGCTCTCCTGCAGCTCCCTCCACAATCTGCAGCAGCAGCACCCGCACATGTCCGGCAGGAATTCAAGGAGGCTTGGCAGGAAGTTCGGCAGGAGGTTCGGCAGGAATTCGTGGCACAGCAGCAGCAACTGTGCGTGTGCAGCGAGCGCAGGATCTGGGGGTTACAGATGCTCCTTTGAGCTTGCTGCTGCTCGGCCGACGCAAGCAGCAGCAGCAGCAGCAGCAGCAGCAGCAGCAGCAGCAGCAGCAGCAGCAGCAGCAGCAGCAGCAGCAGCAGCAGCAGCAGCAGCAGCAGCAGCAGCAGCAGCAGCAGCAGCAGCAGCAGCAGCAGCAGCAGCAGCAGCAGCAGCAGCAGCAGCAGCATTGGTGGGATGCGTTTGTCGATGCTGCTCCCCTCACACAACTGATGCCCCTGACAATGCAGAGTGAGGGCGAGGGTGAGGCCATGGAAATGGATAGCCACCCGTCACAAGAGACAAAGGATGCGCAGCAGCACTGAGCAATCTGGCCTGAATTCTTTCCTCTCCGTCCACTCCTATCAACCAGCTCCATATCACTGCCTTCTGCTTCCTTCTATTGTACCCGACTTCCTCAACCTCCTTCCCATACTCGCTACAAGCGCGATGGAATGTGTTGGCACACGGCGCTTGTAGATTTTTGCCGCTGCAATGTGGCATGAAGGAGTGTTTTTTCAAGTGTGACGATAGAGGGAGGGAGCTACTAACTTCGCAGGGCTACAACCGCCGTGTGAAACATTCTTCTGGAAGGGTGACACCTTCCTGATTTCCTTCATATCTTTATTAAATTCTCTTGTTACATGGAATGCCATATAACAAGTAAATTTTCCTGTTTTTGCTTTTGCTTTTTATTTGTACCCTCTGTTAAGAGTGCATCCTGCATGTTACTTTTGTTTAGTTATAAATAATGAAGTATCCTAAATGCTTGCTCCAATTACAACTTTGTTTGTGTGTTCACAAGGATAATTCTTTTAGCAACAACAAGCAAGCAGGCTCGAAGCTGGATGAATCCACAAGATGCATGTAAAGGAAAAATCATTTATGGTTTTTTTTGAGCTGGTTGAAGACTAAAAAACCAGGCAAGATAATACAAAAACGCACAATAAAAACTAACAATGGATTTCCCAAATACGAAATTGCGTACCCCCCATAATGCACTCCCTAACGCGGACAATACCTTGGGTGCCTCGTCCGCCCCATCCCCAGCCAAGGTATTGCCGCCATCATCGCCACTATCTAGGTTCGTCACCAGCAGCAGCACCTACCTTGGTCTACTGCCATACCTGTAACTCACGGAACATTTCCTGTCAGCTGTCCCTAACTATGAGAATAGTGAATAGCGAATAGGCACCATTAGCAGACTCTGCTCGCTCTCCCTCGGTGTGGGTGTCTTCTCGCACGTCCTCGCGGCCTGTTACCCTTTTTTGTAAATTTCGTGACTGCTCTCCAGCTTTCGTGAAATTTGACTCCCGCTTTCAGTCTTCCATTTTGAAGCTCTGTGATTCTAAAAACCGTCGGTCTGCCGGGATGGTTTGCTTTTGAGACGTCTCAAAACGGGTCAGTTTGGCAGAACACTTCCAATGATTGCAACGCTTTAGGGTTCCGTCTGTCGCTGCGTTTTCACGAACGTCGCAGCGGGCGTTAGCTTTCGATAGTAACATTTCTCCTGATTCAGTTGCTGCCGTCGTCGTAACGACTGTTCGCCGGCAGTCACGAGCATCAGAAGCCGTCCCTTTCGTCGCTAGCTTTCGTTACCTTTCGCCGGAGTTTCGCCAGCGATGGCGGGGAGCACGGACCTGACGAAGCAGGTGGAGGCGTTGCTGGAAGATCCGTCGCAGACGATTCTCATGGCGATGAAACTCTCCAAGAACCAGGCATCGTGGACCGTCGCCGGGCGACGCGGGCGGCTGCAGAGCAAACCGCGTATCCTCGCTATTGGCGGTGAGCAATGTCGTGTACTGCAGTTGCTGGAACAGTAATTTTAGGTTATTGTAGGTACGTCGTATGTATCATTGCTCCTACGGACGAGGCTGACTAGCAATGTCCGAAAATGAGTAGTCTCACTCTTTGGTCTTAGCTGATACATGCTGAATGTTGATGGCTTTCAGAATATTCCAAAGCTTTCCTCTTGGTGAAACCACGATCATGCAGTGCATAGTCATTAATGTTCCGGCATTTGAGGCATTGGCGATATGCAATTTAGGCACAGTTCCGACACTGACTAGCTCTAGGTCGCATTTACTCTCGGTCGGGTCCTTTTGTTAACTATTTTTTTGACGTCCTCCCCATCTCATTGAGTAATAGTTCTTTCATGATTCTCGCAATACATGTCGCTAGGGTGAAATTCTTGACTCAATCCTGAAGCTTGTTGTGACTATCTCAATCCTCACCGGCAGTGAGGCGCAAGGAGAACACGGGGAAACAGAAGCCAAAAATCCACATCATCAAGCCCGGACCTCAAGGACTAGAGGTCGGCGCTTTTGATTATTTTTGTTTTGTACGGTTTTGTTTTTTGTTTCAATCATCCCCGCACCTCCTCCTGATGTTGCTATCATATTACCAATTCTGGAACTGGCAATTGTCTTCCAAACCTGCCAGACCTAAAGCTTCCTGCTCAGCCCATCTGACTCTGCTTATGCAGTCCAGCAGCAGTCGTCTCGACTCTCACCCAGCTCCACCTCTCTCCTTATCTCCCTCCCCCCTTCTTCACCTTCCTTCCTTTGTCCCACCCTCCCTTCCCACCACCCCTCCCCGCGCCTTCCCCTCCCCCACGTCGTTCCCCTACCCACGCCGTCCCTTCCCCCCCTCTCTCCCCCTTCTCTCCTCTCCCTCCCCCCCCCCCCCCCCCCACACGCTCCCTCCCATGCCGCAAACCCCCCAACCCCCCCCCCCCCCCCCCTCTCTCTCACACACACAGCTGCTCAAATCATACCGATTGGGAGCCCTCACGAGCATTGAGCTAGTCATCAGTGACACTACAGGCCGCTCCTTCCTCCTGGTAGGCCTCTTTTTCACCCATTCACTCACTTACTCACTCTCCTCCTAGGCACTCGCCCTCTTACGAGCATCTCATCTCATCTCATCTCATCTCATCTCATCTCATCTCACTCACTCACTCGCTCACTCGCGAGCATGACGCTGGTGCTTCTTTTGAACGTCTCAGAAGAACACGTGCATGTGTGGCATCTCATTTCATTATCTCCCTTCTCACTGCTTTCTTCTTCCTTCGTCTCTCCACCAATGGCGTGCTGCCAGGTGTTTGACGAGAAAACGGACAGCTCACAGCCTCAATGGACCACAAGGACAGTCGACGACAGGTGTGCCGTCTCTCACACGTGTGCACACAGACACGCACACACATGCATGCACATGCGCACTGAGAGCTAGCCTCAATGAACCACAAGGACAGTCGACGACAGGTGTGCCGTCTCTCACACACGCACATGCATGCATGCATGCACACACGCACTTGATAGTTGCCTCAATGGACTAACAGGACAGCTCACAGCCTCAATGGACCACAAGGACAGTCGACGACAGGTGTGCCGTGCCGTCTCTCACTTATACATGCATGCACACACTCACGTCCACACACATGCACACAGGCAACTTAAAAGTTGCCCATTCGACGACAGGTCTGCTCTCTCTCACTCGCGCACATGCAGGCCTGGCATCTGACTTTTGAGTCGACTCAAAAGCGCACATGCAGGCCTGGCATCTGACTTTTGAGTCGACTCAAAAGCGCACATGCAGGCCTGGCATCTGATCACGTCGTCCCCATCGCCGCCCTCTATCCCAACCCGCTGGAACCAGCTCGTATTTCTGCTGCTCAAGATGTGCAAGAACTACCTCATGAGGTTTCTGATGCGCCTCTTACCCTCACATCCCCTCTCTTCTTTTCCTGCGTCTGACCTGACCTCACTACAACTGCAGGAACCAGCTGGTGTTTCTGCTGCTCAAGATGTGCAAGGACTATCTGAAAACGCTCCCCAAAGTCATTGGGCTCGATGTGGTCGACCTCGCGCTGTGGGCCAAGGTGGGTTGCGGTGGAGTGGGTACGGTGGGACGGGGTGGGGTGGGGTGCTGTGGGGTGTGGTGCGGTTTAGGTGCAATTCGTGTGCAATTCGTGTGTGAACTGGTGTTCTTTCTGGGATAGATTAGTTGTTACACCTCAAGACGTGCAAAAACAAACTAACCCCACATCCCTCCCCAACCTCTTGCTGTGCAAAAAGTCGTTGCCAAGGGAAGGGAGGCTGATGGAGGAGGGGGGGGGGGCTGGATTATGAAACCTTTTCTGATCGGCTTTCACCGTTCTCTACCCCTACCCTACCCCCATCCCCAACCGTGTAGAAAAACGCCAAGTCATTGCCAGGAGGAGCACGGCTGACAGAGGAAGGGGAGGGCGAGGCGGTGGGGGTGGAGAGCGAGTCGATGATGGCGCAGGACAGCCTGGTGTCTAAGGTGGAGGAGGAGGACATGGAGGCGCTGCTGGGCACGTGAGTGTGGTTCAGTGCGGTGAAAGCCGGTTCAATGTGGTGACAGCCGGTTTAGTGTGGTGGGGACAGGTTCAGTGCGGTGAGAGCAGGTTCAAGGTGGGAGTGGATGGCGAGGCGGTGGGGGTAGAGAGTGAGTTGATGATGGCGCAGGACAGCCTGGTGTCCAAGGTGGAGGAGGAGGACATGGAGGCGCTGCTGGGCATGTGAGTGCGGTTCAGGGGCGTTGAAAGTGCCGGTTTAGCGCGGCGACAGCCGGTTCAGTGCGGTGACAGCAGGTTCAGCGCGGTGACAGCAGGTTCAGTGCATAAAAATCAGGCTACCGTAAGCATCGCCTAATCACATAGCTGAAGGTACGTGTTGCCTGACTTGCCATCCGTGTATACTTCTTGTACCCCCACTTCCCTCCACCTCTTCTTTCCTCCCCAACTATGTGATTGGAATTGACGAGGCAGAGGCATTCAGAGAGCGGCTGAAGAGGGAGCTGGGGGCATTAGAGTGACCGACTGAAGCAGGCACTCAAGCTCTGAAACCAGCTTATTACTGTCACTGCTCACTTCCTCTGTATCTCTCCTAATCCCCTCCGTCTTCTCTTTACCTACACAGCTATGTGATTGGAATTGACGAGGCAGAGGCGTTCAGCGAGCGGCTGAAGAGGGAGCTGGGGGCATTGGAGGCCGCGAACGTGCATGCCATTCTGGAAAGCGAGGCACTGGTGGAGGAGGTGAGTGGGACAAAAGGGAGGATGAGGAAGATTACCGTTTTGTTTGTTTATTTGTCTTTTTTTCTTTTTGTTTTTTGGGGGGGGGCGGGAGGGAGGGGGGGGTTGCACTTGCGTTTTCATTTGCTCAAAGTTTATGCATTTCCTCGGTACTGTATGGTTGTTGTGCTGACGTGGCACTGGCAGGTGGTTGACAGCCTGGACGAGGCGGCGGGACGAGTGGAGGACATGGAGAACTGGCTGAACGTGTTCAACGTGAAGCTCAAGC